GGGAGAGAGAGAGAGAGAGAGAAAGAAAGAAAGAAAGAAAGAAAGAAAGAAAGAAAGAAAGAAAGAAAGAGAGAGAGAGAGAGAGAGAGGGAGAGAGAGAGAGAGAGAGAGAAAGAAAGAAAGAAAGAAAGAAAGAAAGAGACTTTTGGCTTCATGCAAGGAAAGCAGCAGAAGCAGCAGTCTTTCTTTCTCTCCCCCAAACTCTGCCAGAAATGAGTCTTTGTGAGACTTGTCGCGCCGGTGCAGCCCCTTGGAACAGAAGGCTTTGCAGGGTCCCAAAGACTCATTTCTGGTGGAGTTTGGGGGAGAGAAAGAAATACTTTTTTCTGCTTTCCTGAGTGTAGCCAAAAGCAGAAGAAGAAAGAAGCGGAAAGAAGCAGCCCGGTGGCAGGCCAGGTGCGTGGAGCAAGTGGGGCAAGTTCCCCCCTCCGCCCTTTCCCCCCCCTCCCCTCAGTATCTCATGTTGTTCACAATGCAAGCGGTGCAAGCCTTGTGTTCCTGTCTGCCATGTGGTGATGCAGCCTTGTGTTACTATGCAGCCTGGATTAATTGCTTTGGGGGAGTGCTTTGGGGGTGACATTTCTTTGCGGACCACCAAAATTTTCTCATGGACCACCAGTGGTCCCTGGCCCACTGGTTGGCGACCACTGCTTTAGATGATAACTATAGTCATCTGAAATGTGAAGATCTGGGAATGCACTTCTCGAGAGAGGTTTTGAACCTCATGGAATGACATCTGGCTATTCCTCTCTGTGGATTTGCAGTAAGAATAAGACCAGTTCCATGGGTGCTCCTGGTGATCAGGGCAGCATTAAAAAAGGCAATTATATCCAGAATAAAAAACAGCAGATCTCTACAAATAGCAAAGCATGCAAGAAAGAAAGGGAAATTGTTTGATTATTTCTCCCAGGTTACTCTGTTTCTGATATTCATACCAAAAACAGCAATTTGGGAGAAATAAACAAATATATAGAATCAGAACAAGTAAAAAGAAAAGAGGAAAGAGTGGAGTGGAATTTTTTAAACAGCACAGGAAAAGTTAATGAATTAGTTTTGAAACACTTAAGCAGTACCAGATGTAGACTTGGTGAGAGCCTAAGCCAATATTTCTCCACCATGGCAATTTTAAGCTGTGTGAACTTTGATTACCAGAATTCAGTCCTGAATGACTTCATGTACTCCCAGCATTCAATGCTGACTGGGGAATTCTGGGAGTTGAAGAGCACATAGTTAAAGTTGCCAAGGTTGAGAAATATTGTTCTAAGCTATACAAAGCTTGGAAGCCTCTTGTTGAGAAGTTTCATCAGAAGGTCTCACTAAGCTGTTTACCAAACAGGATGTTGGGTTGCCATAAAAAACAGTGAAAACATATATAGGAGGTATTTAAAACAAAGATACATTTTTTTTCAAATGAATGCATGTACTGATTAAATGTTCATCATTTGGCAGGCTTGATCTCTCTCACAGATTATAGTGCTCATTCTGGAAATAATACTTATATAAAATCTTAAAAATAATTTTAAGATGCATTAATATATATAAATTAATGACAAAGTAAGTAATCAGGATCACTTTTATTAATGTAAGAACTCATTTGTAAAATTAGAAATATATATGTGTGTGTGTGTGTGTGTTTTCTTAAGTTTTCGCGGGTACTTACATGTATGGTATTCAGCTTTGTTTGGGTATTTTCCCACGTCATTATAGTTGTGCTTTTAAAGTTGTAGCAACGTTTCGGCAGAATCTCATCTGCCATCATTAGGATATATATAAAAGCACAACTACAATGACGTGGGAAAATACCCGAACAAAGCTGAATACCATACATGTAAGTACCCGTGAAAACTTAAAACAAACAAACACACACATATATGGATCTTTGGTTATTCGGGTTTTCTCCCGCGTAAGATTGGAGTAAGATATATATATATCCTAATGATGGCAGATGAGATTCTGCCGAAACGTTGCTACAACTTTAAAAGCACAACTATAATGACATGGGAAAATACCCGAACAAAGCTGAATACCATACATATAAATACCCGCGAAAACTTAAGAATATAGATATAGATATAGATATAGATATAGATATAGATATAGATATAGATATATACAGATATATATATATATATATTTCTAATTTTACATATATACATACATACATACATACATACATACATACATACATACAAACATACATTCCTACTGAACTATTTTCCCTTTTATGGGTGGCTACTCTATTTCTGTTGTTCTGTATGTCTGTCTTCCTCATCTAAACAGATGTAGGTTTGCGAACAAGATTTTAGTTATGATCTGGATGGTAGCTGGAAGCCTGCCAGTACATTGTAGGTAGCAGCCAGTTTATTTTCTACATATGGTAATGCTGATATTTTCCCTGCACAGTTTCCCTGTACCCCTCTGAAGGTAACCTTCTGCGTGAGCAGGTGGAGTCTCCTACAGATGGTGGGCAGAACATTCCTGAAGTCCTAATGAAATTTGCCAGGCTTCCTGTCTATGACAATTATCTAATGTGCAACGGAGGGAACAGGTTTGGGAAGGAATGGGATGAATAAAGTATTTCAAGACATAATAGTGGTGACATATAATGGTGCCTTTAAATAATATTGATTTTAGACATTGCTCAGGAAGACTAGGTTTTATTTATTTAAATTACCACCAGGAAGAGTCTGTTTATTATTTTAATAAAGGAAAGACCACTCGTGGTCTCTACTGGAACCTTGATACAGATTCATTGATTCTCCAAGATAAATGTAAGTTTCATTTTAGGAAGCATATATAAACAATACAAAGTAGCAAATTGGGACAGGATCAAAAAAGAACAGTGAAGTAACCAGAGATTGGGCAGTAAGACCTATGAAAAGCAACTGCAGAAGGGATATTTACATTTAAGAAAAGATTGATGAAAGGCCTTCTTGTTACAACTCTGAATACCTAAAAGGATGACATGGAGAAGAAAGTCAAAAACTGTTCCTTAGGGTTCCAGAGTACTGGACAATGGATAATGGATTTAAACAACAGGAAGGCAGACTCCAAATGAATGTCAAGAACTGTTCACTGTAAAAAGGTTCTATAGCAGAACCAACAATCAAGAAAAGTAGTAGAATCCTCAACACTGGATGTGTCCCAAGCAGAGTTGAAGATGCCTTAATTTGGATTCATCTATTCGGTTGGGGGCTGGACTTGATAGCCTAAAGGGCCCCTTTATATTTTTATGATTCTTTCAGTTTTCACCAAGCAGTACCAATTTGTAGTCATCCACAATTTCTGTCTCACATAGCCCCATAGTGGGAAAGACCAATGGTTTAAAAACAAACAACAAAAAACAGACTTTTAACATCTTAATTTATTTTTTTAAGTCCAAATACAATTTAAATTTTTTAAAAAGTGGTATGCAAAATGAAAGGAGTTCTTGATAAGACTCTTCAAATACCTTATCAGTAGATTTAGCGATAGCATGCCACATATCTCTATCTTAGCATACGAATATGAGAGTTTATGTGTACATATAATACACACATACATATATTTTTAATTCTAATTGAATTAGAGCTGATTGAGTTCTTACAGGTTTCACAATTATGTATTAGATTTCTTGTGAAATAAAATGACCAAATCATTATCCAATTTTTAATGAAAATCAGTCTTGAAAAAAAATTATTGCTCACCGGCTCTTCATTCTAGAAGAGCTTAGAGAAGAGCCAGGTTGCATTGATAGCCGAGTCACCATTTGTTCCCTCAAAGTCCTGGAAACTGTATTTCTAACACTGCGTTTGCCCTTTTTTGCAGTCACATCACATTGCTAAACTGGGGGGGGGGGGGTAGGAATAAATGATGTGAATCAGGACAGTCTGTTTTAAATTGATTATGATTGTGCTGCAGTTAAAAACCATTAGAACGGAGTATTTTGGCCTTGGGAGTACAGCACTTATCTACTGTTCTTTAATGCAGTAGCTTCTTTTATCTGTCTCTCTTAGTGATTGAAGTCACCTCATTTTTGCTGATGATTCTTATTTCTAGTATTTTCTGTTCTCTGTATAAACTGTTCCATCTTGTTTTCTTTGAGCAGGAGATCCTGCCCACCATGCATCTATGAAGAATCTCATTTCTTCATGTTTGTTGGAATCACTGTGTGATTTAATAGCACTAAATGCCTTATTTCCTAAACTTGTAATTAGATGTGCATGTTAAGCTGAAAATAACACTTGTATGTTTTGTTTTGTTGTTTCTGACTTTTTAAATTATAGCTTGTGTGCTTGGTCAAAAAGGGGCAGGGTAGTAACATTTCAAACCCAGAGGACCATCAGTTGGTATTAGAGGGTTACTTTTTATTATTGTAATATTTTATTTTTTATTGGTAGGAAAGTGTTCAAGTTGTGAGATTCCTACCTGTTTCACAGACTGAGGTAAAGGGGAAGAATGTTTGATAAAGGCATCCTCCCAGAGAGGAGGTAGCAACAGCAGAAAATAAAGCAAGAAGGCACAGCAGGGAATGTCAAATTCAGAGGACTACTGGGAAAGGCAGACTGACTTTCCACTTTTCACTTTACAGTTTCAGTTTATCATGACATGACATTAATGAATGAATCTACTGGGTACAAGCTGTAGAACAAAGAAAAAGAGTTAGCATGGAACCCTTATATATAGCACCTACTAAGGACTCAAGCTGTCCCAGGTGGAAAGCAAACTTTATTATTTTACCCTCTGGAACAATCTTGTCTATCTAGAGTTCCCTAGAAGTCAAACAATATGTTGAGAAGACATCTCAAGAACAAATTGACAAAAGTTGGAAGCAGCGTGTAAGAAAGCATCCAATTATGAGGCTGCGGGGAAGCAATGATGATACACCTTGATGCATTGCTACTATTTTGCTGCTATTCCCCTGAAAGGATAAACACCTATTTTAAATAATGGGGTTTTTGCTGTATGTGAATATTCTTGATGGGCAAAATCACTCCAATCTTCTTGGACTTGGACTCTGATTAGGCTAATTTAGTTGAGGTGCCTCAACTAAACTAGTCTCATGTTAGTTTGATGATGAGCTTGAGTTTGTGACTCCTGATGTAGCAGCTAGAGATTTCAAACCAACTTCAATCACCTAGATCTTCCTGCATTGTTAGTGTGGCCCAGGAGGTAGACCAGGGGTCCGTGGGATGGTATCAGCTTCTTTGGAGGGAGTGAGGTGATTTATTTGGCCTTGAAGGAAGTGGTGGTGTGCTTCCTGATCAAGAAGCCATCCTTGTACCCAACAATTTTGGGTAATTATTGATCTGTCTACAGACGTCTTTTGGGGAGAGGGGGTAGAATGTTGAGAAGGTGGTTGGGCAGCAAAGGATCCTAAAGGAATCTATTATCCAAACTTCTTTTATTTTGGTTTCAGGCAAGGAGTTTAGTTTAGTTTAATTTAGTTTAGTGTCATTGCACCTCGTACAACAAAATTAAATGCCATCTTCGGTGTACATTATAACTATAAAAATAAAACACAAACACACATCCTTCACATTCTATACAATTGAATTGAAAACCCCTGATATTGCATTAATATTGTGCTATACAGTAGAATTCAGTATGGTTACTGCCCTGGAATAGAAGCTGTTTTTCAGCCTATTTGTCCTTGTTTTTATTATTCTGTACCATCTACCAGATGATAATAGTTCAAAAAAAAAAAGGATGCCCAGGATGAGATGGATCTTTGAGAATGTTTTGAACTTTCTTAAGGCAGCGGGAGCTATAAAGCTCTTCTAAAGAGGAGAGAGGGCAACCAATGATCCTCTGGGCAATGACATTAACCAGTGGTGGGATTCAAATATTGTTGCCACCGGTTCAGTGGCCATGGTTTGGTGGATGTGCTTTGCACTCATGCACACACTTTGCGTGCACGCGCACGCCAAACATGCACTTTGCGCAGGTGCAGAGGCATTCTAATTCGCCTCCTGCAAGCCTGCATGATCCTGGTCGCTTCAGCAGCTGCCGCGCAGCACTATTCTGTGCCACACAAAGCAGCTGTGCTTCAAATTCAGCCGATAAAAGTGAGTATGGGAGCCCGGGTGGGTGGATGGGCCCAACAGCAGAGTGGCGGAGAGAACCAATTCGATCTCCACTGCTCATCGCCCCTACTGGCTCGCCAGAGCCGGGCCAAACCGGTCAAATACCACCATTGCCATTAACCCTCTGGAGCGCTGTCCTATCTGCCACTGTGCAATTGGCAAACCATACAGAGATGCTGTAAGTTAAAATATTCTCTATGGTGCAGCGGTAGAAGGTCACCAGCAATTTTCCATTCAGTTGTTGTTTCCTGAGAAGTCTCAGGTAGTATAATCTCTGCTGGGCCCTTTTGACCAGTGCTGTAGTGTGGGTACCTCAGGTCAGTTCCTCTTTTATGATAACATTTATGATCATTATGGAGATGGATTTCATCATATAACTGAAGCTTTTTTTGTTCATACATAATATTTACGATACTTTGTGAACATCCCTGGTAGTCATCAAAATGTACAAATTGTGCAGCTTGGTCTCATTGTGTGAACTTTTGTCAATAGAGGTCCCACTTGGTTGATGCTTTGAAAAAAATCTTTTGAACCATGCTCTTCACAGGCTTCATCAGAACCAGATTTCTAGTGGTTGATAGTCGATCAGCAAAGTGCCAATTAAGCTTGTGCACCTGTTAGTAAACTCAACTAATAAGAGGATCAGTATGTATTTATTGAAGGAGGGAAACTTGATATATTAAGTTCTTATTTCTGCCTATACAGTTGGAGCCCTTGCACTTTGTTCCTCAGTTTTACTATAAAAACAAATAGGCTTTAAACTGTAATGGCCTTTTTTATCTTATAGATTATGGCTGAGCAAGCAGTGGCAAGTAGCAGCCTCTCTCGATCCATCACCCTTGAATCTATTTCTCCAAATGACAGACCTCTGCAAGGTAACAATATTATAGACCAAGTTTCTTTAATTACATGCATTTTATTATTCCTCACAATTACAGAGATGTAGTGAATATTCCTTATATTAGGAACCACTATTCTTTATCACCTTACTCCAGAAAGAACCTCTGCATTGGGATGAAAGTTCGAATCACGAAGCAGCATTTTCGCTATATAAAAAATATTTGTTGAATTTCACCTTGACATTTGTTACTTGGTGTCTTTATCTTTGAATGGATTTTGTCTGACCTTCACAGACTATTATGTGTGGTAAATCAGTTCACTGAATAGGATCCGAGGTCCCTCATACCTTTCCTGATGCATCACGAACTACAATACACAGTATTGTAAAATTACCCTATTGTCCAGTTTGAAAATACACAATTGAATATCCACTATAATTGTAGAAGAATTAAGAAAATGGGTGGGAAATCAGAGAGATGGTCAGTGAAGAGCACATCTGCTGGCCACCTTTGCCACCAAAACACAGCTGAAAGAATTACTGCCAGACCGAAGTCTCTGGCAACCTGAAGAGGAGTTTCAGTGGTATTCTTTGTTTTCAAACAATGAAGGAACAGGTGTGCTCTTGACTGCCCCCTTATTATGCAATGCAGCATTTGATACCTCATATAAAAACTTCCATTTCTTAGATTGATGGCACTCTGAAGGACCAGTGAATGAACTCAGTGAGACTTACTGTAGGATCACTTGATTACTCATTAAGTGCCATGTTTCAGTATCTCCTTATTTCTAATGCCTTAAAATTTATTCTCTGAACAACAGATTGGAACAAATCTGTTCTCTTTTGTTCCCACAGCTGATATATTGGATGTTGTAAGACAGTCTGTTCAGAAATACAAAGCTTTATATATCGGCAGCTTACCAGTATCTAAATCTATGGGTAGGTATTTCTTAATGAATTCTGCAACTTATGTTTATAGTTGCTTCATAAATATTGTAAGGTGTAATCTGATCTATTTTATTAGCCTTTCTACAGCTATGAAACGAACTTCTGCATTATATGTTACAATTGGTGGTTTATGTCAACAGTCCAACTAATGAACCCAACAAACATAGACACTTTCCGGAACTTTGTAATTCCAATAGCAAAAACTTACATCATTTCAGTACCAAAGAAAGCAAAACTATATCTAACTTTTCCCATGCAATCCTGCATAATTAAAGAATAGATTTCTCCCCTCTTCCCACTGGACAAGGTCACATTGTCCAATTATGAATTGTCCTTTTGTTTTGAGAATAGTTGATGTCTTGGCTGACACCTGCAGAAGTGTCCTTGGTGGGTACTTAGCTCTTCCTGTTGAAATTTGGAGCCTCTGCATTCCATCTTCCCCTTCCCTCCCTCCAGTTCTTTGGCAAGTTGAGCAGTAATAACATTTACAGGAAGCATAAGCAAATTCAATCTTGACATTTTGGCCCCCTGGAAAGAAGGGATACCTACAAAATATCAAACAGATATTACCATTATGAGTTCATACCATTCCTCTTTACATCTCCCCCTGGTTTCTGAAGATATTTCAAATGGAATCTGTTCATTAGCCGGTCTGCCTTAACATTGTGGGACCCATTCTGCTTGTGCCCTTGGATATCCTTTCCATTGCACTAGAATGCAATTTCCCGTTGTAGTAAGTAGAATCTAGGATCCTTTTTATCTCATAGTATTCTCCCCCCACTATGATCAAGCCCGGGGTTTCTTTCCCCACTGGTCTTAGCTGCGACCCTTAGGCTGGTTTTAATAAGCTGAAATGGAATACTGGATGCACATTTCCCAATATTTGGGGTAACTGTAGCTCTACTGTGACTGGATTGATGATTTTCACAATAGGAAATGAACCAATATACTTGGGGCCCAACATCCTACAAAGTTGCCTTAACCTTAAGTATTTTGTGGATAAGTACGCTCTTTCCCCCATCTTGAACTCCTTTTGGGGAGCTCTCCTTTTGTCTGCTTGTTGTTTTTACCCTTTTCTTGCTTTCACTAAGGCTTTCTTTACATCTTTGCATGCTCTGTTTAGGAAGTCCATCAACTCCTTGAGAGTTACTGAGGAGGAAGGCATAGGCACGAACTCCATCCTTGTGGTTATCTTAAATGGGGTGAACCCTGTGCTGATACCCACTAAATTATTGTATGGTACCTCTGCAAATGGCAAGAGCTCAACCCAGTTGGGCTGCTGATAGTTAACATAACAACGTAGGTATTGCTCTACCACTGCATTAGCTCATTCTGAGGCCCCATTCGTACTCGGATGGAACCTGGGAAGACCTTATCAGCTTTATTAATTCACATCAGAACTTTGCTGTAAACTGTACTCGTCGGTCTGAGCCAATGCATTTGGGCACTCCGTGCAGTCGGTAGATGTGTTGTACAAACATCTTAGCCAGTCTCTGGGTGGATAGGAGTTTGGGGCATGCCACAAAGCGGGACTGTTCAGAGAACAGATCCACAACGATCCAAATCACAGTGTTCACTTTCTGGTAGCTCCACTATAAAATCCATAGCAATTTTCTCCCAAGGTCTGGTTGGGTCGGCCACCTACTGCAACAATCTGGGGGACTTCCCTAGCCGTTGCTTCATAGAAGTGCACACAGGACAACTCACCACATAGCTCTCTATGTCCTTCTTCATCTTTGGCCACCAAAATTGCCTCCTGGCCAAGTGTAGGGTTTTTACAAACCCGAAGCAATTTGCTTGGCGTCATGACTTCGCTGCAAGACTTGTGTTCATAAACTGTCAGGAATGTACAATTTGTCACTTTTCCATGCCAAGTCTCCTCTCATCGTCATCTGGCTTCAATGGGTCCCAAACCATGTGTCTTTCTTCAGCACTTATTTTAACTGTTGTATTAAGGTGTCACCGGGGTTTAAAGGGGTTTCCCATGTCTGTTGCTTCATGGAGGCCTGGACCGCAAACTGTTTGAAGGTATAATGGAATTAACCACTTCTTCCTGAGTGCTCTTGTATTGGGGCAACCAGGAAAGCACATCTGCCAGGAAATTTTCCCCCTCCCCCAGAAGTATAATGTTAGCAAAGCCTACGAAAATCTGTAGCTATTTTTAAGTTCAGGGAGCCTGCCATTCCAAAATGGCATTCACCTTTTCAGGTCCATCACTATTCCTTCACATGACACCCTATTCCCTAAGTAATCCAGACTGGTTTTGTGAAATTCACACTTCAACAGTTTGGCATGCAGCTTAGCATCCAGGAGTTTCCTAAGTACTTTGTGCAATAGTCTCACATTCTGTTGTGGCCCACCAGTGGCCAGCGGAGCTGGTGGAAGACTTGGACAGTGAGGAGGTTGGGGAGGAACATGGGCCAGTCCTGGAGTCTGGGGAAGGCTCTGATGAGTGCTCTGCATTGGAGGCAGAGATGGGGCCAGGGCCATCCGACAGTTATCAGCTGTCTTCAGAGTCTGAGATCAGTGGGGCAGAAGAACAGCTGGAGCCTGTTCCTGATGTGTACATGCACAGAGCTGCCAGGAGAAGGGAATAGTTAAGGAACAAGGGTCGACTCTGGAATAAAGGCACAGGTGGATGGTGAATGGCCCCTCGCATAGGGAATAAAGAGGAGCGAAAGAGGAGTGGTGTTTGCAGAGACAGTTAGTTTGTTCATGACTCTCAGAGACTCCTTGCCAAGTATTTTCTTCTACAGCGTTGTGCTTGGAAGCTATCAGCCTGGCAACTCTCCAAGCCTGATAAGGTCTGTGGTTGTAATTCACCCTTGAAAGACTGTTTGCTGGGACTTTGCTGTGAATGATAGGAATTTACATTAGCCTAATAAAAATGGATTTTGTCAGGACAAGGAGTCTGTTTCATGATTTTGTGAAGATAGGTCAGAACACATTCTCTTCCATCATCTCAGAACAGATGAGGATGTCGTACAGGTATACCAGAATTCCTTTGTACAAATTCTCATGCAACATCTCATTTATTAGTTACATGAACACAACAGGTTCTCCTTTAGACCAAAAGCCATCACTTTGAATAGCACCCCAAGGGGCAGTTAAATGTGGTCTTCCACTCATTCCCCTTTTTAATCCTCACTCAATCTCATGCCTCCATTAGGTTCAGCTTGGTGAACACCTTCCCTTTGGACAGATACCCCAGCATGTCCTTCATGATGTGGAGGGGGTACATATTCTCCACACAGACCCTATTGATCCTGTAGAAATCTACACACAACCTCAGCAACCCGTTCCTTTTCTCTTTAAACAGCATGGGAGCTGCCATTCAGGACTGGATGAATCCCCTGGCAAGGTTCGTGACTATGAAGTCTCTTAGCCCCCCCCCCCCCCAATTTCCTTGGGAGTAATTGTGTACATCTTAAGCTTAGAAATTTCATCCTTGGTAAGATATCAATTGCACAGTCCATGGGTCGATGGAGTGGCAGAACATCAGATTCCTTCTTACTAAATGCTTTGGTGAGGTCCTGATATTCCTTGGGGATTGCAGGTTCCCTCGGCTTTGACTCAGTGGCCACTCTCGTGTGCTCAGGTCCTTCCCTCCGATTACAGCTGGAGCTCCCTGTGCTTCCTCTCTGTAAGTTCTGGGGTCCTTGGGCTCATCACTAAGTAGTTCCTGTCTCTCCCCCAACATACTGTAGTCTCCACTTCTTCAGCCAAGCCAAAACCAATATCATGGCTTCTGCCTTTTTTTGGGCCACCATGAACCCAGATAGTCTCTTTGTGGTTCCCCATTACCAGGCTCACTGGCTCGGTTAGGTAGGAGACGGGCACCCTCCTATGATCGAGCCATTGACCTGCTCAAATTTCATGGGTTGGTGTAGTTTCCTCACTCTCAATTCTAGTTTCACTGTCTGCAGGCTTTCTGAACATCGGGTGCATCCTGAGCCTATCAGGGCTGTTACAACTCCCTTCACTCTGAGTGGGGCACTATGATCTCTACCCGGGCAGTAAAAGGGGTGATGGCTCCACTTACAAACAGGTCGTTCTCTCCCTCACTGTTGCTCTCATAGAGGGCCAGCTGGGCATCGGTGGTTAGAGTTCCCTTCCCCTCAGTTGTTGGGGAAGAGACCTTTATGACTTGGTATGCCACCCGTGTCTTTTCTCTCTCCTCCTTCGGTGCCTTCTTGGTCTTTGCCGGGCTTGGAAACTTCAGGGTCATCATGGGCTTGAGCACTGGGCAGATCACAGCTCTATGGCCCTCCTTCCCACATTGGAAGCACTACCCAGACTCATGCTTTGGGGCCTCTCTCAGGGTGGAGAAGGAAGCTGCTGGGATCTTCTAACCCAACAAATGATTCTCTTGGCTTTTTCTTGGCCAGTTCTTGGCTCCTCCATGCCTCTTATACTCTATAAAATCCAACTCCATGTTTGTCGCTGGCTGGTACCATGTGCATCTGAGATTCTGCGGGGCAAGCAAATGTGATACAGCTCCCAGTTCAGGCTGTCATGAAAGTAGACCAGCAACCATTCTGGTCACCCCCCTCAGCTTCCTGGCAAGGCTCCAAAACTCGTGGTTGTACTCGGTCACCAGCCTGTTCTCCTGTTTGATAGTGCATATCTCGGACTCAGCTTGGCAACTCTGCGTATTGTCCCCGAATCAGGCTTGGAGCTCATCTAGGAAGGCATCGGGGTTCCCCAGCTTGGAAGCTCCCTTGTCATGCAGCTGCCCACTCTGCTGCATCTCCCTCCAGGCTGGCCACGATGGTGTTTATGCAGGCAATATCATCCGGGTAGACGGGTCCATACTGGTTCATGTGGCTCCATACCTGGTTCAGAAAAAAGTCCAACTTCTCTGGTCTCCCGTTGAACATGGTTCTTATCAGCAGGGGTTCCAAGTGCCCTGGGGCAAACCAGTATCCTGTGGTTCACTGCAGTGGGAACAACTGGGGTTGGAAACTCATAGTTATCGATGGCACATTAAGTTGGCCGGCTCCCCCATGTGGAGTAGCAGTCACCTCTCAGGGACTGGCAGTGCCCTGGCCTAATGCAACCCTCTGGTGTGGGACAGTAACCTCTTGGGGGCTGGTAGTATCCAGGGCCGCTAGTCCCCCAGCCACTAGCTGAGGCTAAGCTGTGGAGGCGAAGGGACTGTTGGGCTTGGCTGGCTCCTGCCTTGGTGGCTTGAGCTATCTGTCATATTAGCACCATCCCCACAAATGTCTCTCTCAGTTGCTCCACTGATGGACTGTGTAATGTGGCCAGGTATTTCTAATCCACTGGCTTTTCCCATTCTGCAGCTCTTTTGGCCTTCCACTCCAATCCTAGGATGAGGGCCACCTGGGGAAACTCAAGGGAATCTTTGCTTCCGCCACCTTCCTCACTACGCCTCACCATGGCTCAACAGTGCCTGGGTAGAAGGATCCAGCCACTGCACCTTCATCCCATGTCGCCGGCTGCTCTGCCTTCTCCATTCGCACTTTAGACCGGGTCATGACTACTTATCTGCTTGAGCCGTTGCCAGGGCTTCCTTTGTCACACCTGTCCTGGCATTTGTCACCATCTCCACGTTTTGTTCTACACCAGACATAGTTCCCCAGACTCCCCATAGTGCTCTCAGAGGTGGCCGAGTAGGCTGCATAGAACCAGGGTTAGGAGACCTGATTTAATGTCAATAATCCAACTAATGCTCCCAACAAATATAAGAAACTTTCAGAAACTTTGAAATCCCTAAAACAAAACTTTATTGAGTACATCATTTCGGCTGACATCTGCAGAAGTCTCCTTGGTGGGTGCTTGGCTCTCCTGTTTGAAGTCTGGAGCTCTGCATTCCATCTTCCCCTTCCTTCCCCCCAGTTCTTTGGCAAGTTGAGAAGCGATTATATTCACAGGAATCATAAGTGAATTTAATCTTGACAGTTTATTTTTATGCTTTTCAGGAATCTTGCCAGGTATATGGAAAAAGGAATAATTATGTTGATGAGATTCCTATGCAATAATGCTTTTTTCTGCACGCTGGATACACTGACCACATCAATAACACTATCCGCTCTGACTTACAAATATCTGCAACTATTTGCTGACCCAGTACATGGCAGCAAAGAGCAACTACTAACTCTAAATTTTGCAACTCAGACCTGGCAACTTGAAATGAAAATCCATTGGTTTTGTTCGTATTGTAATTTGCTCTTGAGTTAAAACCATGTTAGGGTTGACAGGAAGTAACAGGAATCAGATTGGGGCATAGATTTGATTAGGAAATGATTAAGGATCAAAGAGTTAAATACTGCTTTTCTTTGATGTTCTATTTCACCTTAAAAATTAAATAGAAAAATCTATAATAAATCCCTTTTATAGCTGTTTGTCAAGAAATCAACGAATTCATCATGTGGCCCTGCTATTGTGCCTGTTATAAGTTTCTATGATGTGTAGCAGTTAAAGCTGTAAAGCAGGGGTGTCAAACTTGATTTCTTCAAGGGCCAGATCAGCATTGTAGTTCTCGTCTGCAGGCCGGCAGGGGGGGAGGATGGATGCCAGCCAAAACGGAGCATGTGGGTGTTTTTGGCCTGGACAGCTTCCTGCAGCACTTTGTCAGCCAAAACAGGGCGTGGGGGAGTGCACCTGTGTAGCTCGTTTTTGGTGGCAGAGTGCTGCTGATGGCCAGGGAGGCCAAAAATGCCCCCCCCCCCATGGGCCATTTTGGCTGGCACTGCAGCCTGATGCTTTGATATTTCGAGGCTGGCCTTGTTTTAAGCACCCTGCGGGCCAGATCTGGCCTGTGGGCTGTGAGTTTGACATCCCTGCTGTCGAGTGAGGTTAAGGGAAATGGTAGAAATCTCAATGTTTAAAGTTACTACATTTCTTTGGGATACATAGATATTTCTCTCAAACTATCTGTTCTCTTGAAATATCTCAAAACAGATGGTTTCTTTAGTTACCTTTCCTCATCTTTGGCCTTGGAAGGAATCTTAAGCAGCAAAGTTGCCTTGACTGGAATAAGGAATTCAGACCCGGGATCCTGAAATTACCTATTCTTCAGCTAATGGTGAAAAATGGCTTGGCTTATTCATTTCTTTCCTGCCTTGGCACTTTAGGGATTGATGTGCTAAATAATGCCATTGAAACTCTGATGGGCAGCCGTAACCGTGAGCAGTGGATTCAAGCTGTGGTTAGCGTTTCAGACTCAGTGATGCAAGCAGATCAGACTGAAGTAAGACTCTTTGTGATATTGTTCACAGTGGGATCTTTCTCTTCTCGCCGAATATCTGAGTACGACCTTGCTACCTGTCTCCTGTATGTATTATGGCCCGCTTCGTTGGCATATCCCAGAAACCGAATAATCAGCCAAGGAGATACTTGACTGAAAAACTGATAGTTGGAATTTTTCTCACCACCATTGACTGAATGCTATTACTTAAGAGTAGATATTGACACCCTTTTTCTGCAGAGGAGCCAGAGGCCATGCTGCTGCTACCACCCTTTTTGGATGAGGTGGCAAACATTCTCTCTCCCTCTGTTGTGGGTTGAGTAAGTATATTTCTTTTTGGGACCAAGAGCTGCATGATTTTGACTAGTGGGCATATCTGGCCCATCGGCCATAGATTGCTGATTCCGATCAGATCTTGGTTGCAAAATCCAGATAATGATTACAGGTAGTCCTCTACTCACGACTGGTCACATTATGATACCACCTGCAAGTCACATTTTGGGCACTTGGCTACAGGGCCCAGCTGTTTGCAGTATCCTACAGTCATGTAACCATGATTTTTGAGCCATGGTGACTGGTTAAAATATGGTATTGCGGGCTGACTCTGCCCATTGCCAGGAGTTTGATCCTGATGAGCTCAAGGTTGACTCAGCTTCCATCTTTCTAAGGTTGGTAAAATGAGGTCCCGGATTGTTGTGGGCAGTTGACATTTGTAAACTGCTTAGAGAGTCCTGTAAAGACAGAATATAAGTCTAAGTGCTATTGCTATTTTTATCATTTTTTCTGAAAACTGGCACTTACATGTATTACCAACTTTATAGTAAATTTATAGTTAGGTTTATTGAAATCTTACCAAATTTAATGGAATTATTCTCAGGTCAGAAAGTTCCACAGTACTGCTTTAATCTGTGCTAGCCATTTGCTGTCAGAATTAAATGCTGCAGCCAAAGATGAATGTTTCAATGATCCATTGATTCCAGGGGGAGTCAATTATAGTCAGTTATCCCATAGAGGTCAGTTGGATTTTAATATATTTAGGTTGTATATTACAAATCCAACTGATTTTCATTAGAACTTCCATTAATCTCTCTCACTGAGAACTTTAGTATCCTTAACTTTGGTTGGGGTTTTATTTATAGTCCAACCTAATTTATTAAATATAAATTGAAAAACCAATCATAAATGTTAAAGGGTCATTCTTGACCTTCACTAACCTATTCAAGAATATTAGTTTTCAGAGACGGTTGATAAATCCAGGTACAGTTACATCCTATTTGTTCCACTGGTTTCAATGAGCACTAAGTATTGCTTTCTGCAGAATGGAATTCACAGTACATTTACAAAACAATTCAGCCCTATTATGTTATTCTACCAATAATGTTTACTTTTAATATGTTGCATTAAACTATAAACTAGGGGTTTCAAGCCCTGTCTGCTGGATTTATACTCCATAATGTGATTTGTTTGAATTTGCCAGGGCATTACATTCACTGTATCACATTTATGAGGCTGATCACATAATTCATTTTTGTGTTAGGAATAGGGATTTAAAAAGAAAGAAAGTATAAATTTGATTTCTGTGTGAAGACCTAAAATTTCATCTAGTACCTGGAGGACAATTGGAATAAAATGCAATGAGTACTCTTAGTGTAATCTGATTGGATTGTTCTGTATTCTTTAAGGCTGAAGAGGAGGAAGATCCCTGCATTTGGGAATGTCAAGTACGCTATGTGACTTTTATTGGGATTGGGAGAGATGCCCACACATTTGGACTTATTGCTGACATGGGGAAACAACGTTTTCAGTGCACAGCCTTTTGGTGTGAACCAGATGCTGGAACCATTTCAGAAGCAGTACAGGCTGCATGTATGGTAAATGCTGTGAAAATAAAACAAACCAGAGCAGATTTTGGGGAAAGTATTAGTCTTCTAAAGAAGCTTCCTCTTAAGCTTGGATACATTTTATCTTCCTGCCATTCTTAGTTCCACTCCTCATCATACCCAGACATTGTTTTCTGGCTCAGTATTCATTGCTCTTGAAATACTTGAAGATAAAAAGATCAAGGATCTTGCCAAAAAGAATAAATTGTTATTGCATTATTGCCATCTAAAGTAAACCACTTGAAAAATGTTATTCTGTCTAAGTGAGGACTTCTAAACTATTTTGCCAGAACCATTTCCTACAGCCTAGCTCTAGGAAAAAGAGAAAGTTAGACCTTAATTAAACATTATGCAGCATCCTAAGAATCAAATAAATATTTTTTTTTTTATAAAAAAAGTTTTATTGATTTTAACAACAAATAAAAACACATAAAACATAAAACATAACATAAGAACATCATCATTCTTCATAAATTTACAGACAGTGTATCGGTTGGTTTATCACTTCTTTTTGTGCATCTATTTCATAGTCATCATAATAATTATATTACATAATAACTCATATTATCAATCAACAATTATATATCCTAATATCCTTATTAAACAATCATTTGGCTATAATTTAACTAATTCATGCTTAAGCGAGATAACTATAATTTAGTTAATTTATAACAAATCGTAAAATCATACCAAATCTATCTTAATATAATATTCTAAAAATATTATCAAAACCAAAATATATATATATTCTATTATTATATTGTTTTATCTAACCATTGATAAAAAAGATCCCAAACTTCATAGAATTGTTTATCTTCTTGTTCTCTAATTTCAAATGTCAATCTACTCATTTCAGCACATTCCAATATTTTCTTAATAATTTCTTCCTCTAATGGTATTTTCTCACTCTTCCAATTTCTAGCAAATACAATCCTAGCCGCTGTTAACACATTTACAATCAAATACTTTAAGTTTTTATTAAATGTATCAGGTAAGATTCCCAATAGAAAAATCTCTGGTTTCAAATCTATATGTTTTTTTGTCATTTCTTCCAACCATATGCGAATTCTAGTCCAGTATTTCCTGGCCTCCTCACAAGTCCACCACATATGGTAATATGAGCCAGGGATCTGATGACATTTCCAACACTTTTCGGATTTATTCTTGAACATTCTTGCTATTCTTGTCGGGGGAAAATGCCACCTGTAAAACATCTTATACAAATTTTCTTTATATGCTACTGACATTGTCATTTTATAATTTTGAGACCACAATTTTTGCCATTTTTCTAAATCAATCCCATATCCAAAGTTCTTCCCCCAAACAATCATTGTTTCTTTGACTTGTTCTTCCTCTAATTTAATTTCCAACAAATAACTATATAGTTTTTTAATCACTTTTTCATCAGCACCTGTCAAAATCCCATCTAAATCAGTCAATTTATCATAGAATCCTTCTGTTTTAGAATCTTTAAGATACCTTGAGTGTATTTGCGCATATGAAAACCAATTCATCTTTATATCTTGTTCTTCTAGCTTTTGCATCGTTTTAAGTTCACCCTTTTCATCCAGTATTTCCCCATATCTAACTGTTTGTTCCTTCTTATAAATTATGGGATAGGAAAAAGCTTCAATAGTTGATAACCAAACTGGAATTTTCAAATAACATTGTTTCTTAATTTTCTCCCAATTCAACCATAACGATTCCCGTATATAGTGCCTTCTGAAATAACCCTGCGATTTAGTTCCCTTATACCATAAAAAAGCATGCCAACCCAATAATAAATCATGTCCTTCCAATGCCAGTAATCTAGACTTTCTTAACGTTATCCATTCTTTAACCCACATTAAATTTGCAGCTTGATAATACAACTCCCAATTAGGAAGGCCAAATCCTCCTCTAATTCTAGCATCCTGTAAAAGTTTTAGTTTTATTCTCGCTTTCTTACCTTGCCATATATACTTCAACACCATTTTATTTAATTCATCAAAATAGTCTTTACCAAGCCTAATTGGTATTGTTTGAAACAAATATAAAATTCTGGGTAAAATATTCATTTTAATTGTTGAGATTCTACCTATCAAAGATAATTGTAGATTTTCCCATTTTTTCAAGTCAGATGCTATCTGCTGTTTAAGTTTAATATAATTATTCTCTTTCAGTGTAGTACATCTTGACGTCAAAATTATCCCCAAGTATTTAACTTTATTCGTAACTTGAATTTTCAATAAGTCTGCCAACTCTTCTCTTTGCCTTAATAACATATTTTTTGTCAGAATCTTTGTTTTGTCTTTATTTATTTTCAAGCCAGCCATCTCACCATACGTCTCTATCTTTTCCAGTAGTTTTAAAGCTGTCTCTAGAGGATCTTCCAGAATAAAGACCAAATCGTCCGCAAAGGCTTGCAATTTAAATTCCTCCTTTTTAACTTTCATTCCTTTTATATTTGTATCCTCTCTAATATTTCTATTTAATACTTCCAAAGTCAATACAAATAACAAAGGGGATAGTGGACATCCTTGTCTTGTGCCTTTTTTAATATTGATAGAGTCTGTAAATTCTCCATCTATCATCACTTTTGCTGTTTGCTTATAATATATAGCTTCTATTGCTTGAATAAATTTTCTAGCAAAACCCATCTGTTCCAATAATAATAACATAAATCTCCAATTCACGTTATCAAATGCCTTTTGAGCATCTAAAAATATCAAAGCCATTTGCTTTTCAGGGTGTGCCTCATAATATTCCAAAGTGTCCAAAATTACTCTCATGTTGTCTTTAATTTGTCTCTTTGGTAGAAATCCATTCTGATCAGAATGAATAAAATTATTTAAGTATTTTTTAAGCCTTTCTGCCAAAATTGAAGCAAAGATTTTATAATCTGCATTCAATAAAGAAATAGGTCTATAATTCTTAATTTGTGATGGGTCAGTCCCTTCTTTTGGAATAAGCGTAATATAAGCTTCTGACCATGTTTTAGGTATTTTCTTATTTATCATAACTTCATTCATAATTTCTAACATTGAAATGCTCAATGATTCTTGTAATGTTTTATAAAATTCTGCCGGGAAACCATCTGGTCCTGGTGCTTTCCCGTTATTCTGTCTATTAAGTGCTTCAGTTAATTCCATCATTGTTATAGGATTTTCCAACATTTTCCCAGTTTCATCAGATATCTTGGGTAGGTTGGCATTTTGTAAATACTGTTTAATTTTCCCCTCATCAAAATCCTCCTGCTTATATAATTGCGCATAAAAATCTCGAATAATTCTCTTTTTCTCCTTATTACCATGACAGACTAGACCCTGTTCATCCATTAACTGTGGTATTCTCCTTGATTCTTTCTCTTTTCTCAGTTTGTATGCTAACCATCTACCTGGCCTGTTTGCATCCTCAAAATAGTTCTGTTTAGCACTTCTAATTTTTTGCGCCAATTCTTCTTTCTCTGTTTGATCCATTTTATGTTTAATTATATCCATTTTAAATTTAATATCTTTTTTCTGTGGCATTCTCTGTAATTCTTTTTCCAATTTTTTATAATCATCTTCTAAAGTTTTAATCATTTGCCTCTTTCTAATATTTTTTTTCTTTGTGTATTCCATTATCAATCCTCTTGCATATGCCTTCATTGTGTCCCAAACATTCTGTATTGAAGTATCTTCTTTTCTGTTTTCATTAAAAAAGAAGGCCAGTTCTTTTTCCATCCACTGTGTAAAATCTTTTTCCTTTAAAATAGTATTATTTAATGTCCATCTAGATCTTCTTTTTTGTCCTTTCCATTTAATTGTCATTGGGTTGTGATCTGCCCATGTACTTGTTTCAATATTTATTTCTTGAATATTAGATAATAATTCTGTTGACGTCCAGATCATATCTATTCTGGACCATGATGAATGTCTATTCGAGTAGAAAGTATATTGTTGAGTTTTAGTATTTCTTTCTCTCCATATATCTTTTAGATTTAATTCCTCTATCATTTCAAAAAAGGATTTAGGGAGGATCTTCCTATTTTGTCGTGTTATTTTTGCTGTGTAGTCCAATTCATTGTCTACAATTCCATTAAAATCTCCCATTATAAATATATTAGCGTAGTCCAATTCAATTATTTTCATATGTAACTTTTTATAGAATCTTTTTTGTTTATCATTCGGAGCATAGATTGCAACCAAAAGTATCTTTGTATTGTTATCCACTATTTCAACCATTAGTACTCTTCCATCTTCATCAGTATAAATCAATTTTGCTGAAATGGTTTCTTTAATATACAATACCACTCCTCTTTTCTTACACTGGGCCAAAGAAGTAAAAATTTTCCCTATTTTTGGTCGCACCAATAATTGTTGATGTTGTTTTTTAATGTGTACTTCTTGTAAGCAAATTATATCAAATTTTAATTTCTCTATTTTATGAAAAGTTTTCCTTCTTTTAGTAGCTGAATTCAGTCCATTTATATTCAAAGAAATCAATTTTTTTTCCTCCATAGTTATGATTTATATTTAGGTCTAACGGCTCTCGTTGATCTTACTTCACGTTGTTCTTTAGTCTCCACTTGTCCACCTACTGCACCTTCTTCTTTTCCCATCTCTATTTGGTCCTCTTGAAATTCAGTTAAGGTAGTCTCTTCTTCTATCTCTGTTTCTCTTCTTTTAAAAAATTCCTTATAAAACGATTCTGCTTCATCAATTGAGCCAATTCTGTATCTCTGTTCTTTCCATGTAACCATTAATCCTTCTGGAATCAACCATCTGTAATTCACCTCCTTTTCCAATAATACTTTAGTCAGGAAACGATATTCTCTCCTCATCTCTCTAATTTTTCTGGGTACTTGTTTTAAAACCCCAATCTCTTTATCTCCATATTTCAATGTCTTCTCTCTTGCCGCTTGTAATATCTGTGTTCTGATAGATTTTTTAGTAAATCTAACATGAACTTCTCTTGGTAACTTATTCCTCGATGCATATCTTGTAAAAACTCGGTATATCTCATCTATTCCATCCATCATTTTTTCCTCTGTTATTTCCAAAGCTCCAGCCAAGATTTCTATCATTACTGCAGCAAGATCTTGTCCTTTTTCTTCCTCTATATTTTGAAATCTGAGGTAATATTCTGATCTATCCATCTCCCACTTCACCATCTCATTCTTGTTTTGTTCAAGCGTTGTCACTCTGTCATCAATATTTCCAATTTTCTCATCTCTTTGATTGTCTTTCTCTTCTAATTTTTGCAATTTCTCATCTCTTTGATTGTCTTTCTCTTCCATTTTTTGCAGTTTCTCATCATACTTCGCCATCATCTGTTGGATATTTTCAATTTTTTGTTCAATACTCCCCATCCTTTGTTCAATACTCATTTTAAGTTCTTGAATTCCTTGCATAACCGTCGTTAGATCCGTTTGTCCTTTATCTTGCTTCGCCATTGTTGAAAGTCGTCCTCCAATTGATGGGGAGGCAGGAGCAGAAGTTGATGCGCCAGAAGGTAGAACTTTCTTACTCATTTGAATAACTCGGAATCTTCCCACTCTTTTAATCCAGTTGGCAGTGTAACAATTATAATCCAATTAGGGAAAGGAAAAACGTAAAAAAGAAAAATCAGTAAAAAAAACCCAAAAAGCCCAAAATTTAAAAAGGAAAAAAAGTTTCAAGGAAAAAAGAAAAATTTCTTTCTTCAGGTTCTTCTAGACCTTAATCCTCAGTTGCAATAGTCAAAAGGAGAATAAAACCCAATAATATTAAAAAAATAACAATAATAATAAAACGAAAAGAAAAGAAAAATTCTTCAGGTTCTTCACACCTTAATCCAATTGCGAAATCTCAAGAAAAAAAAAAAAACATGGCCACAAAAAAAGAGTATATACATACAAAGGTAAAAAAAGCAAAAGTCCCCCCCAAAAAAGAAAAAAAAAAGGAAAAAAGAAACAATATTCTGAGGCTTTCCCTTTAGAGAAAAAAAAATGAAAAATAATAATAATAGTAATAAGCAAAAGTGTACAAATATTACAAAAAACTATAGGGTTAAGGAGGAGGGATAAAAGCTAACAACAAGTAAAGCAAAAATCACACTGCATTTTATTTAAACATCCAAGGCTCTTATTATGGCTTCTCCACAAGTTTCAAAGCCAAGCTTCAAACATTCAGTTGATTGTAGAAATCCCAAAGAGACACCTGTGAAAACATTCTCCAGAGTTCCTCTCTCTATCTTATCAACTCAGTGTCCTTGGGAGAGAGTTTCTCACAGTTCTCTCAACTTCAAGTAAAGTATTTTCAAGCCTCTAGTTGGCAGTGTTGCAGAGTTACAAAGTTTCTCAACTCCACTCCCCCTTCTTCCTCCCCAAAAAAAGAACCAATAGAAAAAGAAAATATGTATATATATATGTGTATATTTAAAAAAAGAAAAAATTACTAAAGGAAGCCTCTATTAAAAATATAAACAGTCAAAAAGGAAAGGTAATTATAGAAAAAAACAAAACAAAACCAGTCTGGTTACAATTACTAATCACAATAGAAGTTCGCTAGAAAAAAAAAAGTAAAAAGCCAAGCCTCATTTTGACATCTTCTAAAAAATCGCCACTAAGTCCATCTTATCAAATTCTGTCAAAAATCTTACAGATTCCTTCTTCTTCTAGGGTGTCCTTATCCCAAATAAAAATAAATAAATCTAACCAGCCGATACACTTTCTCTTTCTTTCTTCTCTTCCTTTCGGAGCTGTCCCTGCTTCAGCAGCTTAATGGCTGCCTCTCCGCCGATGGTAAAGGGGCTTCTTCTGGATCCATCAGGGACTTGCGGTGTCCCTGTGATCAACAGAACGCGCCCCTTACTATCACCGTCTCTACGGGACGGTTTAGGTCCGTTGGGACCGACCAGGGGCGAAGATATCAGCTGTAACTTCGGAGCCCCGAAATTACAGCTGTAACGCGGCGACGTGGCTCCGCCTTCTCCCAGAATCAAATAAATATTTTTGTTGAGATAGTTTGATATAATATTGTTGTGCATCATATCTGATAAGACAGTCTAGCCAGAAAAATCAGAATATCACCAAATAATTGAACTTAGCTTTAATCACAATATAAGTGAATTATAAAATGCCTGGCCAGTTCCAGCTGCAGAATCCTTTATGCAATTTTGAATTAGTATTTTCAAATTAAGTCATAACATTTTACAAATTAAACCAGTATATTTAATACTCTCCAAATAACTTACTGGATTGTACGTTCTTACAGCATGTAAGAACTTGAAAAAGCTAAGCAAGGTTGAACCTAGTCAAACTGGAATGAGAGACAACAAGAAATCTTTTAGTCAACAGGAAATTGAATGAGTATTTGCCATTTATATGATAGGGAGAAGATTTTTAAGACAAAAAACACTCATTAATTTAGATTTTTGTAAACCATGAATGGCTATATAATCTCTAAATTCACTGCAATTTATGTGTTTTTTTGATAGGTCCAGTATCAAAAGTGCTTAGTGGCATCACGAATGAGAACAAAAAGTGGTTCACACTCCATAATGAAGCTGAAAAGGACAATGTCGCTCGATTCACCCGTTTATTCGTTTCCCATCACAGGACCTTCCTTGCAGAAAACCAGCAGTGGGGCCACAACATGGAAGAGGGGAATGTTCTCTTTCTTTGAAACCTTCCGCCAAAAACATTCCATGCTACCCACTTCCTAAGATGAAAACAAAGTCTGGTGGTCTGAATGCCCCTTAATGGCACTGTCCTCTGATGTCCGGGCTACAAATGTAACTAGCATAATTTTGTTTGTGAAACTCCTTCACTGAAGCGAAAAAACCAATACAGCCAAACAAAACTGGATCCTAAGAAGGATCCTGACAGATTCTGGACATGCTACGCATATTTCTTCCAGTTCTTCGCTACATAGAAACTCGGGGGGGGGGGGGGGGGGGGGGGCAGGGGAGACGCAATGCTGCATAAAAAACATTTGAAGGTGCTGCTTGCTACTAAGAGCAAGCAACATCATAATCACTGCATAAACTTAAAAGTCTTGCTCCAATTGCCCAGGGATTCATCTTCATTCAGTAACAACACACAGTTTTTTTATAGTTGAAGTTATGGACATTAATACTGTTCCTTTCCTAGCTGTAGTTTGAACTCTTGGAATGTGACACTGGAAAACAGGCTCAAGAGAAGATAAAAAAAACTGCTGACTCTCTAGGTGCATGTTTGGATTAATATAAATTATTGATCTGAAGTTATTCCTGGAAAATTAATAAATAATTGACATCAATATTCTTCAAGCTAATGCCACCCAAATGTGTTTGGATCACAAATCTCAATATTTTCATTCAATAGTTAATATACCAATTAGTCTACTTTATCTATTCATGTATAGTTCTCACTGTACTAGTTTGTACATGTTCCCTTCTGAATATTTCTTTTTAATTTGATAAAATTAAAATTTTATCCTTTAACATTTGAACATCATCAATAAGTAGTGTTGCCAGTCATGTAGATACTAGGAAACAACTCTTCTGAAACAAGGACCTGCCGATAATAAACCCAAATGGTGCACATAATCCCAGTGCTTTCTAACAAAACGTTTGTAAGCAAACTATGCATGCCTAGTTGTTGCACACATGATGGTTGTTTATAACATGGCCATTCTGCCGGTCTGACACTTCAGTTGGAAGCATCATCTAGACTCAGATCATCATTTGATGAGCCAACATTGATTATTCTTACAAGAGAGAAATAATAAAAAGAAAGATTGCTTTTTCAAAAGATGTAATATTGAATGCCTGTTGCACTAGCATTGTGAAAATGACTGCTAGATCACATATATGGGATCTATACAATGGACAGATGACACTGCTAGGAAGAAGGATGGATCTCCAAATCCATTTTTAGTTGAGTTTCATTCTTGATATAATTCCTTTTCTTTCACTTAATAAGTAATCCTGGATGAAGATAGACTCAAGTCTACCTCAGTGATACTTTTTATCTGTGTACATTGTGCAAATAAAGTACTAATATATATTACAGCTATATTTGCTTTATGTTGGTCTCTATCTCCTGACAATTCTATTGGTACTCAAACGAGTGGTTGAATGCATATAGTGTAAATGAGCCAAGTTTTGCTGACTTGATCCAACAGTTTTAGACAAAGCTATTAGAATAGAATATTAGAATAGAACTGGAAGGGATCTTGGAGGTTTAACAGTGGTTTAACAGATTAACAGAGTTGGAAGGTACCTTGCAGGTCATCTAATCCCAACCCCCTGTCCAACCCCCTGTCACTTTCAGAAAAGTGACTGTCCAGTCTCTTCTTAAAAATCTCCAGTGATGATGAAATGCCCATGATTTCTGAAAGGAAGCTATTTCACTGGTTGTCTTCACTTTAGGAAGTTTCCCTTTAATTCCAGGTTGCTTCTCTCTTTGATTAGTTTCCAACTATTGTTTCTTGTCTGGCTCTTTGGTGCTTTGGAAAATAATTTGACCCCCTCTTCTTTGTGGCAGCCCCTCAAATACTGGAATATTGCTATCATGTTCCCCCCAGTCCTTCTTTTCTCTAGACTAGCCAAACCCAAATCCTGCAATGTTCTTCATACATTTTAGTTTCCAGGCCTTTGATTATCTAAGTTGCTCTTTTCTGAACTTTTTCCAAAGTCTCAACATCTTTTTTGTAGTGTGGTGACTGAAATTGATTGAATATTCCATGCATGGCCTTACTAGGGTTTTATGAAGTGGTACTAATACTTCACGTGATTTTGATTCTATGCCTGAACTATACATAATGATACAAGACTTATTCTTATTCAGTTTTTAATAATGATTTCATGATTTTATTCAGGACAAATACATCAACAGACATATAATTACCACAGAGGCATTTGTCACAATTCACATTGTGAATTGTGGAAGCATTATTTTTAAAAGTAATAATTTTATTAATGATGTGTAACAAATAACCTAGCTGACAACTTTGTCATCCAAAAGGTAGAGGAGGGAAGTAGAGGGAGAACTATACTTCTTACTAGAAGTAGAATTCTTACTAAGACAGGAGAAATGATAGAGGGGTTGAAGTTGCAGAAAATTTGTGGGAGAGTGACCATGTCATATCATTCAGTATAATGTAGACCCAATAAAACCAGTGTCTTAGACTCTAAAAGAGCTGATTTTAACTAAATTAGAGCTTGGAAAGAATCCCGTGGAAGAAAATCTTAAAGGAGAAAACAACTCAAGAAGCTTGGGAAACTGAAAGATACCAATATAAAAGCCCAGTCCAGCACAATACCACTGAAAAAGAAAAATAAGAAATCCAAGAAGAAACCAGCAGGGTTTCACAAAGAACTCTCTGATAAACTGAAAGATAAAAACGATAAATATAAAAAATGGATTCAAAGCAGAATACCAGCATTTAGCCCAAATTTGCAAAGATGAAGTCAGGAAAGCTAAGGCTCAGAATGAACTAAGACTTGCAACAAATGTCAAAAATAATAATAAGTTTTTTCAACGTATAAAAAAACAAGAAAATAGTCAAGACAAACAATCAGTCCACCAATGAGAGATGGCAAAGAAGTGTTGGGCAGAAACAGCTGCTTAATTCTTTACATACAACTATCGGCTAATCCATCGACTGGGCAAAAGCCTCAGCCATGCCCTCAGCTGCTGCCCATTACTGGAATCGTTGAGGACCCTGTCCTAGTCACACCCATGCTGGTAATTGAGGACATCGCTTCTGGTCCTGTAACATCAGCAGAAATAATGAAACATTCAGCCAAAGACAAAACTGTCACAAGTTTTGAACTGGGTGTGGAGGGGATGGCTGGGGGAACCTGTGGGAGGTGATTTGAAACATTTTCGAACTCGCCAACATGAATTGTCTACTCAAAAGGGATGTTTGTTGTGGGGGGATAAGAGTCATTGTACCACAGGTATTAAAGAAACCAGTAGTAGAAACACTACATGTGGGACACCCTGGCATTGTCAGAATGAAGGCACTAGCCAGGAGCTATGTTTAGTGGCTGGGCATGGACAAGAACATAACAGAGTGGGTTGCTACCTGCAGACCGTGTCAAGAATCCAGACCAGCACCACCCACCACATCGGCACACGAATGGGAGACCCCCAAATCACCATGGTCGAGGGTGCAAATTGACTTTGCAGGCCCTGTGCAGGGACAAACTTTTTAAATAATTGTAGACACCTATTCTAAATGGTTAGAAATAGTTATAATGACCACCACAACAGCAGAAGTGGTCATCAAGGTATTATGGAGGCTATTTGCCACCCACGGCCTACTGGACATTCTAGTTTCTGACAACAGGCCCCAGTTCACAGGTAATTACTTTGAAACTTTTCTAGCTGAACAGGGAATCTGCCATGCCTTGTCCGTGCCATTTCATCTGGCAATGAATGGTTAAGCGGAATGGATGGTGCAGTCAACCAAGGAGGCCCTAGCAAAAATGGGACCAGGAGAGTGGTAAGCAAAAATAGACAAATTTCTCCTAGTGCAACACATAACCCCTAGTGCCACCACAAATCGGAGCCCAGCCGTATTACTAATGGGCCGCAAACTCAGATCAAAACTAGACAGACTGCACCCGAATTACAACACAGAAGTACCCACTGATTCGATCAGCCAGCGCTGGTCATTTAATCCGGGAGATTTAGTGTATGCCCATAATTATACAGAAGGTGTGGTCTGGGTCCCTGACAAAATAATTGCAATTACGGGTCCCCGATCTTACTAAATAGAAGTAGAAGATGGTAAGATATGGAGAAGACACATTGATCAACTCAGGGGACAGGACAGTTGGTACTAAGACAACCAGAAGGGGGGGGCAGCCCTAACAACTAAGGCCTCTATACAAGACGAACCACAAACAGAAACTCCGTCTAACCTAAGCTCAAACCCAAATCTCAAATGCACGCACATAGCTGAAGAACCAGGAGTCCAGCAAAGAGTCCCTGGAATTCTAATCCGGGTGGAGCCAGCCACACCCCACAGAAACTTCCAGCCAGTTCCATTAGCTGACTCTAGAGCTGCAGCAGGCCTGACTGTCCAGGCCACTGCCGCTGAACTGACTGAACTGCACAGGTCAGGTAACCCCACCGTCACCCCACTACCTACATGACTATGTTAAATAAACTTCAGTGATTGGATAATGCTCTTCCAGGAGGGGAGGGGTGTTGAATATGGTAATAGGGAGTGAAGCTGAATGACAGGACTTCTCAGGTTTAGTTCCAAGGCGGGAAAATAAGATTTAAAATGATTGGGTGAATTTCCCAGCGGGAAATTCAAGGAACCTCAGTCGCTGAGCTGTCAGACAGCTCTCTATAAAGAAGAGAGCTGTAGGGCAGCCAGACCACCTTCGTTGTACTGGTCTACTCAATAAAGAGCTGTTGTTACTATTGACACGTCTTGCCTCTTCACTCACCCCAATCTAACATTGTTCTTACGTTCTGTGGTTGTACTGAGATTTCTATCTTATGCTGGTCAAAGATAATAAAAAAATTGACTGGCAAAGGAGAGCAGTCTGTACAGGTGAATGGGACAAAGACTCCCCAAAGATGAGAGGAATTATGGAATGTTCTATTAAAGGTTACAGTATCTCTGTGTTAAACTATGTAGTAAAATATGTTTCTTTAAACAAGGTATATAGATGAATGAAGGGGTGTCTGCAGGGTGTGTTAAAAAATAATTGTGACATAACTAAAAAAACAGGTGTAACTTCGACCCCACTGTTGTGGCATCTTGATTTTTTGGACCCTGCCCTGCAAACACTCCCCGCACCCCCAGGAAAGCAGCTGATAGATTTGTCGCGAAGTCTCATGTAACATTTTTCCAGGCCCACGCTTACGAGCTAAATTCTCTGTTTTGTATTTTATTCCTATTTATTTGTAAAATTTATTGGTCACCCATCTTACCACAGATAACACCGGGCGGCTTACAATGTAACAAATTCTTATTTGTTTTGCCCCCGATAGCAACTTTTGCATATTTTTTTTTATGAAAAACGGAACGAAATGGATGAAAAAAAAAATTTCTCGCTCCGTCTTTTCCTCCAAAAGGGTCTTCGCCCCTCAGAAGACCGCCTGCGACCTTCCTACGCGCCAAGGCCACCCTCGCCGCAACGCCCCATTCCGGATGTATCAACCGTCACGGAGCGTCAGCGTCCTCGGAGTCGACGGCAGGGCCCCGCCCCCTCCCCCCCCCCCCACACAAACTCCGCCCGGAGACTGACAGGAGGCCGCCACGTCACCGCGGACGACGGGAAATGGCCTGTGGGAGAGCCGCTCGCTATTCAGGCAAGCGCGCCTGTCGGAAGTGCGGTGATGGCGGAGCTCTATGTCAAGCCCGGTAAGCTGCGTGGCGGAGAAAAGGTGTTGCTTGTTGCGCGAGGCTGGCGTCTGACCGTCTGTTTCTTTTGCAGGGAACCAGCAGCGCGGCTGGAATGACCCCCCGCAATTCTCCTACGGGCTGCAGCAGCGTCCGGCTCTTTCCCAGCGGGGTCCCTTCCGGAGAAGAGTGGCGGCGGCAAGTGAAGGAAAGGAGCCCGAAACGGTGCCGCACGCCCCCATAGTCTCTAGGCCAGGTTGGGGACGGTTTGAAAGTCTGTAAAAATACTGTGCTATAATTGTATTGCATTTTATTTTTAAGCGTATGCATCGCCTTTTTTTTTTTTTTTTTGCTTGGAGAGAGATGGTTACTTTCCCCATTCTCTTTATTTTGTTCTGATTCTTGGTTTCGGTCTGCCGGATCATGCTTGGAAATTTAAGTCTTGGCGACTTCGTGAACATATGTAGCTTTTTGGGCAGCAGAACAGACTTCCCAGTGCCTCTTCCTAGATTATTTTCTTATTTTCTAATTTAATCTACAGCCCTGTTTTTATTTATGTGCAGTTCCCAAGAATGGCCAAAATTGGGGTAATTGTATCTGATTCTAATATTTTCAAAGCAGCTATGCTTAATTTATCTACCAGATTTTTAATTTAAGGCCCATTTTTTTCTCCATGCACTAAAGTGGATTAACAGTGTACACATCTTTCTCTTAACACAATCTGTGTCTACTCTTTCAGTTGGATTGCTTGTCCCACAGTCTGTGAATCTGCCTCCTCCTGGACCACCAACCTCTTTTCAGAGAGCAGATGTTACAACACCATCTGTTGTAGAGACTGACAAGGAATATGAGATAGATGATGTGCTTTCTTCCTTGCATGAGACTCTGAACAACTGTAGGAAATTTGTGCAGGTGAGAGAGCTACCAGCTTTTCCAGGATTTTATTGTAGAATGAAGTTGTTTGTGTCTCATCATCATATCCTTCTTACTGTAACACTAAGTCGTCTCTGTAACTGTTTTTAAGGCAGATGTCCTCATGCTATCTCCATTTCATTCCCTGCTAACCTAAAGTTGTCTGTAGTTGTTTTCCTATTAAAATAATGTTTTCCCTCTTTTTGTAACCCAGTTTACAATATTGATGATGCTGTGAGCTTCATCTTTGAAAGGGATTATTGTAATTAAGGCAAAACCAAAGTTCATTTATATAACCTTAGAGGAGGGTTATATTGGAATATCAGTCTTCCAGAAAATTAGTATTTGCAGCTCAATAGAGAGCCTTTTCTATCTATTGTCTATGGAGATTCTCGGTCATCCAGGTAATGGTTATCTCAAAGATAACTATTTTTCAAGAGTTTCAGAGGCAACTGGACTTTCTGGGTTGTTTTTTTTTGAAGATGTTTTGCTTTTCATCGAAGAAGCTTCTTTAGTTCTGACTGGATGGTGAGGAATGGAAGGATTTATAGTCCTTGCAGACAGCTGGACATTAGCATTCTTTTAGCAGGTTGTTAAGGTCGCCTGGAGGTTATCTGTGTAATCAGGGTCACCTGAATGATGCAAATTGGTGTGGAGCCTTCTTGGAATTGTTGAAAGGATTGTATTGTAGATTGGAGATAGATGATGTTGTATCCCTCCCCCTCTGTTGAGAGAGGGCTTTTTCAGTTTTGACATAGATGGCCTCTTTAACCCCTCTTTCAAATCAGCAATCTTCTCTGTCCAAAATATGGACTTCGTTGTCTTCAAAAGAGTGGCCTGTGTCTTTTAAATGCAGATGGACTGCTGAATCTAGTCCTGATGTGTTTGTTCTCCTATGTTGTGCCATGTGTTTATGAAGTGTTTGTTTCGTTTCCCCAATGTACAGATCTGCACGTGGCTCACTGTATTGTACTGCATATACCATGTTGCTCAGTTTCTGTCTTGAGTGTTTTATCCTTAGGGTGGACAAGCTTCTGCCTTAGTGTATTCTTGGCTTTGAAGTGTGCACGTATATTATGTTGGCTGAAGATCGTCCTGAGCTTTTCCAATATGCCTGCAATGTACAGAATGACTATGTTGCTTCATTTATTGTTCTCATCATAGTCTGTTACAGAGGAGCTCCCGTAGAGTCTTTTTTGAGATTAAATGAAGGCCCACTTGGATAGCCACATGTTCTGAGGGCTTCCTTAATGTGTTTATAGTCTTTTTCTTTCCCTCTTTGCTGGTAGGCAGGCCTTCAGCTCAGTGATGTAAAGTTCTGATGACCCCCATTTGAGTGGTGGGAATCAAAATGTAAATATTGATCTGTGTGAGTGGGTTTTCTGTAGACTTCAACGTTAAGGCTTCTGTCTTCCTTGATGTGTACTGCACAGTCCAGGAAGGCTAGACTATTTTCCTTAACATCTTCCCGTGGATTTATTTGTCCACAGAGTTGATGTTTGGTGAATGCTTCCAATTCCTGTGTTTTGATCTTGACCCAAGTATCGTCCACGTACCTATACCAGTGAGTGGGTGGAATTCCTGTGAAGGAGTCTCGGGCTTTGGTTTCTACCTCTTCCATGTAGAGATTGGCTACAATGGAAGACACTGGTGAACCCATGGTGCAGCCATGTTTTTGTCTGTAGAGGCCTTCATTGTATTTAAAATAGATAGAGGTCAAGCAGAGGTCCAGCATGGCACATATGTGTTCTGAGGTTGGTTCTGTCACTTAAGGTGCTGTCTTGTAATAGTTGTTTTTTCACTACCATGACAGCTTTGGTAGTTGGGATGCAGAGAAGTCCATTCCCCACCATCCTGTCAGAGCTGAAGAAGCTTCTTGAATGAGAAGCGAAATGTCTTCAAAACCCCCCCAGAAAGTCCAGTTTTCTATATATTGTTACATAAAAAGTATTTTTTAAAAAGTTCCACAACATATTTACAAAATTTTAAAGAAACCCACATCTCCTCAAAATTTGTGACAGCTGGCTTAAAATGTGGCACGCAACATGAATTTTTAAAAAGATCTTTACAATGTTTTAATTCAATTGTTGTCATAAAGTCTCTATAGATAAGCTTTAGGCACTGGTTGTACATCAGGAAGGTGCAGTGGAATTAGCTGAGAGGGTAACAATGTATGTAAGCAAATGATTGGATGACATTGAATGCTTTGCTTTTCTCACATCTTAAAAAAGAAAGGAGAATGGCCTCCTGCTGTGGCTAGAATTTTTTTTTTTGTAAGTTTTATTTGAGTTTTCACAAAGAGAAAAAAAATACAAATAAAACATCTTTTTTGAAAGCAGCATAATCCCGGGTTACATTTCTTCGTACAGACACAAATTCAGGTTCATGCTCATTTTTATATTCTATTCCATATCTTATTACTATTTTACATTTTCTGCATAGCTTCTCCCCTCTTTTAATTTTCTCAATTTTATTTTAATTATCTCATCTCAATTCAAATCATTGTATTTATATTTTTGTCTGTCCTGTTTCAATTATCTATTATCTTTTCTCATTAAACAAAATTTCTCCTGTAGTTACTGATTGGAGTATGACGCCTTTATATCTTTTCCCTAAAGTTGTAACATTCAATATAATACATAACTTCCATTCGGATTCTGCTTGGTACATTCTTAAAATACACACTGTATTCTTAAAAAAAGAAAAAAAAATATAAATGTATATAATTAAAACAACATTCCATTCCAATTCAATTCTATCATTAATATTAATATTCATTAAAGTCTTAACATCTTTAACATTACTTTTCAATTAAATATCATACTTCTATGGGAACAATTATAAGCTTTCCATAGTTAATTCCCCCCCTCTTCACTTTATCAAACATTAACTAATTAAAATGTTCCCGTTCCTTCCTAATTCAATTTTCTCATTTATTTTATTTCACTTATTTTATTCACAAACATTTCACTAAATTACACTAACTATTTTATCCCTCATTTTAATCATACATTGTTTCCAATTTTCTAAAGTTATTTCTATTACTAATATAACAATACAATCTTATGTACCTTTACAGAATCCCTTTTTCAGTTAGATTTTCACCCGTTATCTCTAAATAGGTCCTGTTTCTCTATATCTTGCTCCGGTCCTTTGTAACTTCTTTTCCTTTCCTTCTTCCGTCTCTTCTTCTCTCTCCCCTTTTTACCCCCTTGTCTCTCTACCTCTATTTCTCTCTTCTGTATTCCCCTTTTCTGTTGCTTTCCAGTATTATACTTATTTTTTGAATTATTTTTCTTTTCTTTGGTTGTTTTTTTAAGTCTTAAATTCTCCATTCTCTTTCCTCCCTTTCCTTTTTCTTCCCCACATAAAATTACTTGTTCGTTAAAGATGGCTTCTTCTTTGTCCCAGTCTTCTTGTTTTGCAGACGTTTCTTGTTGTTTCTCATAGTTCCAAATCTCCATTTCTAAGAATTGAAAGACAAAGCCAAAAGAACCCTTCCCTTCTTGTGCATCTTCTTTGTACTTTTTAAGTTCCATTTTCAATTCATCCAGAAGTGGTGCCATTGTATAAATTTTTAAACCACCCAATTGATTTTAGTCATTCAAATATAATAACCAAAAATCCAAAGATCACCAAATAATCCAAATACACGCAAGCTGTTTCTTTTTTGCTTTTTTTTCATTTTCTCTTCCTGGGGTTACTATTTAGTTGCAAAGTTTCAGTTAAAATGTATCTTTTAGAAGTCTTGTTGAAGTTTTACTTTAGATTCTTTTTAATTCCAGGCAGTCTCCTCCCTCTTCCAGATCCTGCCCTTATTCTTTTTCTCTCCCTTCCTGCTTATGAAAAAGGAAAGTTTTTAATGTCCAGAAATCTTTATTATCCCTTTGACATTTTGTTTTATTTTCAGCTTAATTGCCTATTGATGTCAAAGCGGATTTTTCCGATTTCTTATTTAAGTCTCTTAGTTGTCAGTATAGGGAAGGAGAGAGAAGAAAAAAAAAAGACAAACCTTTCCCTTTTCCCTTTCCTTTGCTGCTTCTGACTCTTCTTTGGGAGCGATGTTATTTTTTGTAAGTTTAAATTCCAGGGTACCTTGGTTGTTGCTTTTACAATTTAACCCGGTCAGCCAAAACTTTCACTTCTTATCTTCCTCCTGCATATTCTTTTCCGGTCGAGTTCTTCTTTGTGGTGGCCATTTCTGACCACCGCTGCAACCGCCTTGGGGAAAGGGAGTAATGGCCAGCTGAGGAGGAGAGATGCGGCTCTCCTCGACCCTGCTGGCGGTCTCCCCTCTCTTCACCACCTCTACAGGGTGGCTTAGCCCCGAAACCAGCCAGCTCGGGGCGCTCCAGCGGCGAGCCCAGACAGAAACCGTGCATAATCGTGGATTTCTGTCTGTCGCCAAAGCCCTTCAAACCGGAACAGTCCTGTGGCTAGAATTTTTAAATATGATCCCCCAAAAGAGATATCTGTTAATAAGAATTTGCTTCTATTTTCAGAAACAGGTTTGTGATGATATCCATAAACGCTTGGTAATTCTGCAGGAAATGTGGACACAAGGCAAATTATCTTCCCCTGTAAGAAAAAGGATGGGAATTCTAACAGAAGGTAAGGAATATACCTATGGCCTGCTATACCACAGTAGTTGTTTCTTTTTGTAATCTTCAGCATCAGCTGTGTATTATGCTAGAGGTAGCAGAAATACTGCTTTGATAGAACTGGCAAAATTCCATCTGAGGGAACGCTGTACATATTTAAACTAAGGCAGTTTTCTTAGTAGTGTATGATGTTGCTAGAGAATAGTTGACGAGGACCATTTTTCCTGTATTTTTAGCTATTGATTATTGTGGAGGCAGAACTTATGTTATTACTTTGCCTTAGGTTCCTAATGAACCCTTTGGGTTTTAGAGAGAATTTGGAATTGTCCCTCAAGCTCTTTGACAACTTTTCACTGTTTGTAATCGAAGGGCAACAGTAGCATTGGCTCAGACTGTACGACTATGGCTTCAGAATGCCACTGGAGGAAGTGAATATAAGTGAAGTTGAATAAGAGCTTTTAGTAAGCTTTCTGTGGCCAACAGACCAGGAAATGTCACTGGTTTTTTCTACTCTTATTCGGTCTCCTCAATTACTGTTAAGAGACCCTGTTTTAGTTGACCCAAACCTTTTGGGGGAAGAGAGTGGCCAGGAAACACCTGCATGGCAGATATAAGAACTTAGGTCTGCCCTGAGCAGTGAAATTGATCTTATCTAGTTATTTGGGAAGAGTTTGAGTCAATTGATCTTAAGGAAGTGGTCAGAATCCTTATGGTTCAGTTTATGAATTTTAGATCCATATCTCTCCTGCCTAGTTAAGGCCTAATGGAAGACAACACAGAGTTTGGCAATAGTGAGGAGTTAGATCCACTTGCACTTAAGGAGGCAATGATCTATCTGCTTCTCAAATAACCATTGCTGGACCCAATGATACTAGATAATTTTAATGTCTCCAGTCTTCCCTTTAAGAGGAAGGTTTTTGAGTTGGTGGTCAGATTAAAACTTCAGAGGGTCCCAAAGGGAAGGATTACTGCTTTTGTACAAAATCCTCTTGTGTGCAAAGTATACCTGTTCTTAGACTGAGAGGTCCTATTCATGGGGCCATGCATGCTTTGGCCATCTTCTGCCATGACCTTGCAAACCACTTAAAAGCTGCAAAATGCTGCAAAATGCAGTGGTGCAGATAGTTCTGTGTGGTACACATATTACACATTTCCTGAGCTGCATGGGCTTCCAGCAGCTTCTGGGAGAAATTCAAGCTGTTGGTTATCACCTATAAAGCTGTTAGGCTACATTACTTGAAGGACTGCTTGTCTCCAATCATTTTTGCACATCCCACAATATCTGACAAGGCAAGTGTATTCCGTGTCCCTATTGTCAAACAGTGTCATCTGATGGGATCCAGGAAATGCCCCTTTTCTGGCATGGCACCTGTCCTCTGGTACAACGTATCCTCTGAGATTGGGACGGAGTGATGGCCATTCAAAAGATGCTGAAGACCTGATTCTTCTGTAATGCAGTGAACCAAGCTGTTGTATCAGCCAATAATTGGTGATACGATTATGCACCTTTAAGAAATTCCAAGTGTGATGTGTTGTTTTAAAATTGTTTTGGAATATTTATGGTTATATTTTATAGATTGAAAGCAACTGTATAAGATTTGGGATGCTTTCCTACTTTTTTCCAGAACTCAAGAGTCAGCATTGGGATGAAGCTGATGAGATTCATCGCTCCCTAATGGTGGACCATGTTGCTGAAGTAAGCCAGTGGATGGTTGGAGTCAAAAGGCTTATTGCTGAAACAAAGAACTTGCCTGGAGGAGATCCATTGCAGTAGAGCATGAGCAATGCTGAATGTTTATAAGATTTGCTCAGGAACTGGCCAATATGAAAGTGGACCCTGTCTGAAAGGCAACCTGGGCCAGGGAGATTTGACTTCCTAATTTTATTTCCTTAACAGTTGTATAATCAAAGTTGCATTTTCCAAGTTGATCACATCATGATCAATGAACACTTTTTTGATTGAATTAAAAAAAACACCACTTTTTAAAGAAGTGCAACTTTTTGAAGATGACAGATTAAAAATAGCAATTTTGCAAATACTACTTTTAAATTGTATAATGAGTCTTAAGTGCCATACTGGTGTTAAATCGATTCTAAACAGTTTGTTCATATAGCTATTGTAAAGTCTTCCTGTTTATTTTTCTTTTCTTGATAAGTGTGTTGTTCCATGTTTGCCTGCAAAATACACTCCACCTTCTGTTCTCTAAAGTGTACCTCTTGAAAACAAAACAACCTGTTTTCTGTTCTTGAACAGGGCTCAGTACTAAAGATTACTAAGATTAGAAACAGATATTAAGAAATAAATGTTAGAAAATCCTTTTATTGCTAGACTTTATTTCAGTCATGCGTAGACTGAATGTGTAAATGTAATTTTATGCCCATTATATATCAATAAGGGTATGGCTACTGTTATTTTTTTCTGTTCTAGCCAGAAGTATCTTTCATGTTCTTTCTAGCCAAGTGTTCAAATGTTTCAAAGTTTTCAAGAAGTTCAAATTATATATATATATAGATGATTGAATCATTTCTTGGATTCTTCTTGATTTATAGATACATTTTTCAGTTATGCCTCTCTAGCAATACTCCAGTCTTGGCCTCCATAGGCTTGACTCCAGTAATCTGTGCTCGAAGACTTTCATGCAGTTATACCCATGCTTGCCTAGGAGTTATAGTGCCCTTCATATTCAGATCATCATTTATCCAGTTACTGTGGTCATATTACTCCTTGATCCAATTAAGATTAACTGTCACCTGAGAGCTCTGCACGATTTAGCTGTTAGGCGAGTTCACCTCAGTTGCCTGATAGATCTGTTATTTCCAGAGGGCACTTGAGGATTTTCCTAAACATCTGATAAGCAGTTTTTCTGTGGACATGGTAAGCCTTTGGCAATAGAAACTGATTCAAACTCCTGACAGAATTGACTCCATGTGGCTTCTTTGATTCCTGGGTGTCCTTCACTTAATGCCATCCCAGGATACTGAAAGCTGCCAGGTGGAACCACTGAACTTTCAGAGTTCCTGCAGCATAGGGGAACTTCCAGAGGTCTGGAAAAGAGCTGATGTGGTTCCAGTTTTCAAGAAGGGGGAAAAAGTGGGTCCAGGAAACTAGATCCAATTAGCCTGAAATCAATACCTGGAAAAATCGTGGAAAAGACAACCAGCGGATTTGTAAGCGCTTAGAAATGAACAAAAAGATCACTAAAACCCAGCATAAATTTGTTAAAAACAGATCATGCCAGATGAATTAATTCAGGGTCCTTATTTAACAAAGCATCTCAAGGCATGACAAGAAGTACTGGGTGGAAATTCCTTAAAGGGAGAGCCAATCTAGAACTAAGGAGAAATTTCCTCACAGCAAAAACCAATTGCTTCCTGGAGTTGTGTGTGCCATTGCTGGAGATTTTTAAGAAAAGAGTAGACAGCTATTTGCCCAGAATGGAATAAAGTCTTCTGGTTTGGTCAGGCAGTTGAACTAGAATTTCTCCAAGGTTCCTTCCAGCCCTGTGATTCTATAAGAACTATAAGTAGATACCAACCTACTCTCTAGATTTAGTTGAAGGGAAGAGATTATTCCAGGAGACACTGCTTGTAATAGTGCATGCCTGTGATTTGGAGACTGTGGGGAGTGGCTTTTCCATCATGGTACCTACAATACGACAGCCTATTTCTAAAAAAGTAGGCTGGCTTTCTGGAAGATTTTAAAGACTGGGTTTTTGCAGAGGAGTCTTTGGGACATGATTCTGCTGGTCTATTTTTGTTAGGAACAATAATTATTTTAATATTTTATTCTCTGGATATTTTTACTATATTTTGATGTGCTGTAAACTGCCACAAGTTATAAAGATTTGCAGTATTCATATCTGATTGATAAATGAAGGGCTGAATGACAGACTGTATTGGAACCAACATTGCAGACACTTCTGATTGATAAAGGAAAGACTGGTATTGGAACCAGCAGCAGGACCAAACCTGCAGTTGGGCGATGACAGCTTATGAGCCTCTTTTTGCTTTTTAGAATCTGCTTCAGGCTTAGTAGCTTATTTCCATCCCCATTACAGGGAAATCATCATGAGGCTGCTGGGAACTGGTCGTGCATTCAGGATCCTATGATGGACATTCAGGAAAAATGCCAGTCAGGGAAGGTAGTTATTTGCCTCAATTGGGGTACTTCTGAAATAGTGCTGTTGCAAAATGGGTGAAACCGATCTTTAGCTAAGGCTTGCCATGTAAGATAACTTTACAGATGAAACAGTACTTTCCATGCTGAACCTTATGCATCACTGTTTCAAAACTGTTATATTGTTTTTCTAATATATGTTAGTTTTATCGTGTCATTCTACTTTGCTCAACCTATTATTCCCTTGATCACATTTGAAAGACAGAACTTCTATTGATGCCAGGAATTCAAATTAAATTCAGTGACAGATTGCATTTTAACTTTTGCTTAAATAGCTGGATTGTACTTGCCATCATAATTGTTTACGCTGTCAAAGATAGTTGATTGGCAACAGCTTTGTACTGTTTTCAGTTATTGTAGTTATGAGCTTATCTTCTGCTCTCAAATTAGTCCAGATACTGATATTGGATCTATTAGTCTGAAATTACTTGGGTTCTTTTCTGGTGTTGTTAAAGACATTTACTGTCCTCAAATCAGCGGGCATATCACTCATTCACAAATTCTTAGCATTCACATACAGTAACAACTTTTTTTTTAATGAATCAGAATCAGAATAGAGTTGGAAGGGGCCTTGGAGGACTGCGCCATGCTTGCCAGGCTACTGCAATCCTCCTCAGGCTGAAGCCATGGTGTGTGTGTGTGTGTGTAGAGCAAGTGTGGCCAAAAGGCTGGAGAGCATCAATTAAGGAGCGCATGGCAACCTGGAGCCAACAGCCACTTGGGACTCAGGAGGACTCCCTGTGCAGGTACACTCTGGCATTACTATGGTGTGCCCTCAAGAACGGCGGCAGGTTCTGGTGAGCACCGGCTGAGGGGAGAGAATCCCAGGAGAAGAACATTCCTGGGAGGAACTAGGGAGAAAAGGAAAGGAGGCAGGAAGCCCAAGTGTGCAGTTTCTCCTCTGGCGGCAGCTGTACCTGCTGCCCTGTGCTGCGAGTTTAGTGGCTGGAGCTGAGAGACGAGCACAGTGCTGCTCCTCAGATGACACATTCTCTTTCCCTCAGTTGGAATTGACCATTCAGACTATCAGGCATGGGGGCGGATTGGGGGGGGGGAGATGCTGTCCTGGAGGAGGTGGTGCCATCGCCTACCTGGCTGCTTGTACTGCTTCCCTAAAACCGCAATGCCACTAACTAATTTTGCATTTTAAAATGAATAATTTTCACATTCTCAAAAGTCAGCACCTCTTCAGTCTTGTCAAAGTATTCCGCACTGTAAACAGCTATAAAAAAAGTTTTAGATATTAGCCAGCTAAAGGATCAGAAATAGTGCCTAGATGACAAGTGAAACACATAGGCAAAAAGTTAGGTCAGAAAATGATTTTTAAGGGATCCAAATTTCAAACTGTTTTAAGTCTTTAAATATCCTTAAGCTAAACTAATTTAATAGAAGTATAGCATCAGTGGTCCAGCTGTACCATTTTCACCAATCGCTTTCTATAGAGCATGTTAGTATAATTTAGCCTGAGGTAATTAGCAAATCAATGTTCAAAAATTGTTTTATCACAATACTCCTTGCAACATATATCACTTGTATCTCCAAGAATGCTCAAAGGTAGCATATCTAATCCCCAAATCAAGCAATACTACCAACAATACTTTTATTCTATGAGAATTAAATTTTAGCTTGTTTTTATCATCTAGTCTTTTTACAGCTGTGAGACAATGATTTAGTTCTATCATTAATGAATGAACCCAGCTCAGTATAAGTACTATAAATCCCCATGATTTATGGTTCTGAGGAGTGTGATGCTAGTTCATTCATGGTGAACCAAAGTGAAGTGTGAACCAAACGACTAGCAACAATTGGCAGCCAGACTACATTGAAGAATTGGCAGTTAATAACAGTTGGCAGTCAGACATCTTTCTAGAACTCCTGGCTCTCTAAATACATGGCAACAAATAAACAAAATGGCTGCCAATCCTGAGCCACGTTGCACCAGGAAGCCTTAGTGAAGGAGTACAACAAAATTACAACTTGCTCAACAGCTGTCTAAAAACTTTGACATCAACATAGTGGAAAGCCAAATGGGCTGCTGAACACCCAGATACAGGCAGTTACGTAGATGACCCTACACAAAAGGTGCCAGGTTTTGACCTTACTCACCAGCATTGCTCAACTCTGAATAGGATCCATACCCAACATGGTGTCTGCTAGGACTCATTGAGGACTTGTCTCTAACCCTCAGTGTGACTGTGGTGCTCCTCGACAAAATATCCATCACATTGTGTCTGAATGTCCATCGAGAGCTTTAACATTTGAACTACTGTAAGTCCATGTATTTGCCAAATGTTAAATAAATAAATAAAATAAGGTTCTGAATGAAGCTGTGAGGTCCAAGAGAATTGGCAGAGTTATATTTCTCTTTCATCAAGTACAAGTCATTCACTAGGGCAATCAGCACTTTTTATCTCAAAGCTGCTTTTATGCATTAAAAACCTACTGTTTCAGAATTAAAACTAAGGAACAGATCCTCATAATTTTGCCCCTTAGCACAGAAAATGTTCTAATTTTTACTGCAGTACAACAATCACCATGTGACTTCTGGCATAAGCACCATTTTATAGTTTGATTATGAAATTTGCTATTTTGAAATTCAAGTTCTCAGCAGCTATAACTAGCCTGGCCAATAGTGAACAATAAAGGATCCTGGAGTCAAATTAAAGACATGTTGGATTCTTATTCTGTAGCTATGAATGCACAGACTGCCTGGACTACTGCTGAAGTCATGCTTTGCTACTTACTCCAATGGTAGCATTTCTTTGCATATGCACATGCATGTCCTGACA